GGCCTCTGACCAGGCCTGCAAGGCTCATGGGCGAAAGCTTTTGCCTACCATTTCTCCCCTTCATGTCTGCCAGAACCCACATGCTCTCTTTTATATTACTTTTTTTGCAAAGGAAAAGAGAAAAAGCAATTCTCTCTTCAGAGTCCCTCTCACTCTTCACTGGGTAACTTGGGTCCCTCTCATTCTCCACTATTGGTGGCCACCGAGCAATTAAACTGTTTGGGGTCTAATGAAGTGCAAAGGCAATTCCCTTCCCTGGACCTGGGAATGCAACAGTTACTGGCTGCTGAAGGCAGACATTAAGGAGAACCATTTTAATTGATTAGAATGTGCATATGCTGTATTGGTTTAGTTTGCGGGCATTTTGGAACAAATAGCACTGTCATTGTGAGCCTTAATTAGATAATAAATTAGTAGATAAATGGATTCCCCAGCTCTACTGGCCTCCGCCTCCTTGTCAGCACACAACCTCCGAGACAGAGGTTCACTCCTGCATGACTGAGGAGCTGTGTGAGGGACAGAGCTGGGTCTGACCTACTCTGCTGGGGTCTTCCTGCCTTCAGCATCCTGTAGATAATGAAGAAGTTAGAGGGTGAGATAAAGGGCAGTTTCTTGCTGTGGAAGAAACTTCACAGAGCTAGAGTCCCAGACCAGCTCAGAACTTCAGCAGTTCTGTTTGTAGGCTCTGGAATGCGCTGAGCACTAGAGATATGCATAGCAAAGACACCTGTAATTGTGGAGAGACAAATGAAATGGGTAGGAATGTCATAGTTTGTTAGACAGTGAGAAACTACAGAGAAAAGTAAAGTAGGAAGGGAGGGGTTGGGGGCATAGGGCAGGAAAGTCAGCAGGAAAGGAGGTGGAATTTTAAAATAAATTGGTTAGAAAAGAGACTTGGGAGGTGACATTTAAACCAAGAATGATGAGGAGATGAGACAAGAGTAGCCAGTTCAGAGACTCTGAGACAGGAGAATGCGTGGTAAGTTGGGGGAAGAGCAGGGAGGCCTGGCCCATGGGTGAGCAGGGAGCAGAGCAAAAGGTAAAGAGACCAGAAAAATGACCATCCCAGCTAGCTGGAGCACTAAGGGTCTTGGAAGTCACCATCCTGGCTAGCTGGAGTACTCGGGGTCTTGGAAGCTGCAATTAAGAATTTGAGCTTTAGGTCTCAGCAGAAGACCTGCATTGCTTTCAGTATTTCCTCATTTATGATTGCTTATAATCCAGAATAATTGCTTCCAGTCCTGAATAGCAGGCATGCATGTACAGATCAAGGTACCTTCTCCTATACCCTTGGCAAACATTGCTAATTGATTACAGTCCCCTTTCCAGTGAACTTGATTTGGCCTTGACGTTTTGCTTATCCAGCCTTCCTGGATTCTACCACTACCTCCAGGTGGTACTACAGAGAATGAAGGCTAGTCTAGTGTGCCTACTTCTGGGGAAGGATACTGGGGAAGAAGTATAAGAAGGTTCTCAACAGGTGCTCTTGTGTTGACATCAAGAATGTTTGCCATTCCATGAATGTACCCTTCCTAGGAAGCGTGAAGAGAGAGAACAACACCAACTTCTATGCCAGCTTTATTGGCAGGTTAAATCAAATATCCATAGGCTTGTAGAAATCTCACTTGTTCTTGCATTAGTCTGGGACAGTGTTCCTGGATGGCAGCAACATCTCTTAATGCTGGATATGATTGAGAGACCCGTATTCTTTCTGTGTTGTGGCTCTTCTTTCACCTAGCACTTCAGAGGTGTCTATGAAAGAGAAAGCAGTAAAGAGGAAACCTGAGTCCTATGCATCTGGGCTGAGAATAGTCATTATCCTTTCTGGCCAATTCCATAAGTGAAATCCAGTGCCTTGGGTCTACTTAGATACACAGAGCTGAGAAATGTAGTCTGTGGCTGAGCAGGCCTGTGAAGTCTTCCTTCTGTGCTCTGAATGGAAGAGCACACATGTGATAGACAGTGAATATACAGCAAACTCAGAACTTGTGGTCCTCTCCCCTACAACTAATCCAGTGTTTCAGATCACATTGTCAATAAGGCTTACACTTCTCACAGTTTCAGAAAAATGTCACTTCTCACAAATTTAGAGGCCAGTTCAGATTGATAAGCATTGATTAAGCTTATGTCAGACAGTGGGGAAACTCTGCCTCAGTTTCCTCCTCTAAGTAAACACTCCCACTGTGAAAGGCCTGCTTCCACTTTTTAAAGGGTTCCTATGAGGAGAGGGAATAAGAAATATTAGGTAGAATGATAAGCCTAGCCAAGAAGAAGAAAGACAGAAACACAGAATAGCTTCGGGAGGACCTGGGTCAATACCCAACAGCTCAGAACTTTATTCAAAAGGACTTTTTATAACAGTGCCACAGGGTGAGGCAAAAGACCTCCCCCTTGCTAGATACAACCAAGTGTAGACCCCAGGCCTGTAGGCCAATCTTTCTTTTATGCATCCCTGCTAGTAAAGCAAGCTCAGATCTCACTAGGAAACCTCTGTGGGCTCCCACATCCCACATTCTCAGTTATTAATTAAGATTAAAAGGGGAAAATCCAGGGTAAGAAAAATGGGTGCTTAGTAGCCATTTGTACCCTTTTTGTGTTTTTGTTGTTGCTGTTGTTTGTTTTGAGACAAGATTTCTCTGTGCAGCCCTGGTTGTCCTAGAACTCACTCTGTAGAGCAGGCTGGTCTCAAACTCACAGATATCCACCTGCTTCTGCCTCCCAAGTGCTGGGATTAAAGGTGTGGACCACCACCACCCAGCTCAGCACCCATTTCTTTTGAGCTTTTGCAGGAGAAATCCTGGGGTTAAGTGGGATGACTCCTTAGACATCCTAACTTGGAAGAGCTTGTCTTGTGTAAGGAGAAGAGACCACCGCCTGTATAGCTGGGGCATAGCTGAGCACACAAGGGTTAAACGTAGAGGTGAGGGCTGGAGAGATGGCCCTGAGGTTAAAAGCATTTCCTAGTCTATCAGAGAACCCAAGTTTATGTCCTAATACTCCAGCTCCAAGGCATACAATGTCCACTGGCCTCTGAGGGCAAACCTACATGCACGGGGTGCACATAAACTCATGCAGACACACACACAAACACCTAAGTTTAAAAACATAAATGTTTTTAAAGGATTTATGTAGTGACAGATCTGACTTCTCTATGTCTTTCTAGTTCAAAGCTCTTAAAGTTATGTTAACAGAGTTCAAGTTCAAATTCTATCAGTCCCATTTCTCCATTGGAAATGCCGTGGCCTGGACCAAGAACTAGCAGTGAGTGGTCACTTTCTATCGTGAAGGCTCCACATGGGCACCTTGGCTACAGTCTGTCAAGTTTTATAGAAAGATGTATGGAAGAGAAAACTAACACAAACCATGAGAGACCAGCTCCCACAATCTGCTCAGGGTAATAAAATGAATGCCTCAGAGTAGTGAGGGGTAGGAAACTTTTTATTCTGAGGATAATAAATTAGGAACAAGTTTTAATCTATCTATGACTGGTTAAATAAGGAAACACACAAGCTTTCTGGTGTTAACTTTCTCTTTTACTTCATCTTAAGTATGGTCTCTGATTTTGTCTCCGCATAGCTACATATCTCCACATTGCTACATTCTGTACATATAGCTACATGTCTTTCTTTACATACACATGGCCATACATCTCTATACACAGTGTCGTCTGTTTTCATATATCTACACACCTGTCTTTCACAGACATTTCTCTTCTGCGTCTCTTTTCTACACAG